CCAGAAGTTGTGGGGACTTATCTTCCTGGCACTGGAACCCTGAACTGGGGACTTGGTGTAGGCCTGGGACTCCTTGCCCCCAAGATATCCCTCCTGAATTTTTATCCACCACATGTTTATGTGGGACCTGCCCGTTCCATGTCTGCACCCCTCCTACCAGTCTGGATGGATGTGGTTTCTTTAATTCCATAGTTGTCAGGCTTCCATTCAACACAATTTCTGTTGACTCTGAGTGATAGTTTTTCTATATTTTAGTTGTAATTTTGTTGTGATTTTGCAAAGAGGTGAGCCATATCTGTGTATGCCACCCTCTTGATCAGAAGTCTACAGACTTGCTCTTGAAGTCAAGTACTTTCCAAGATCTATTTTATTATTTGAACTTTAGAAAAAAAAAAGATGTCAGAGTAAATTTTCAGATACCAGATACCAGAATCTGATTCTGATATTCAGATACCAGAATCTTGTAGTTAAGTTACAATAGTCTACTGATACTCATGTTTATATGACCTGAAAAATTACATACCCTTTCCATGATACTATTGGGTTTTCTATTCCATTCAATATTTCCATTAACACAGAAAACAAGTATCTATGATTATTGTAGCTCAGTTTTTTTGTTGTTGAGAAAAACCAAAGGTCAGAGCATCTAAATAACTTACCCAATATCATCTGGTAAATGGCAATGGTCTTTAGACAAAGATTTGTTCTTTTTCTATTTCAACACCCGTTGTTTATAATAATAATGGGAAAAAATCAAGTGTACCAAGTCAAATGAGAAAAGGAGATAGAAGAAACAGATGTATTAACAAAGAAGGTGAACCTAGCCAGTGCTCTCTTAAATTTAAAGAGATAGCAATAAACTACCAGTTATTAAAAGCTTTCAGGAGCAAAGATTCTTATTATGGCATTTGAGGTTTTGTCTGAAAAAAAAAATTGTAGAACATATGACATTCCACAGAATCTTTTTCATAAAAAAAAAGACAGAGAGAGAGAGAGAAGCTGTTATTTCATTGAGCTGTTGCCATGGTTACCTAAAACCCATGACTTTCTGCTAAAATGTGACTTTTTTTCTTCCCACTGTTTGCTTCCATGTGATGTGCTTTTCACCTGATGAGTGAATTCCCTTGCAACATTTCCCTCATGTCTATCATCTAGGAAATTGTTTTTTCTTTTTATTTTGATCCATCATGACAGCTGTTTCCAACCTACCTTTTCTTTTATTGGCTAGCTTTTCTGCTGCCTGCAAAACATTGAATCAAATTGTGTTGAGCATAGGTATTTGTCCTTTAATATTGTTAAGAACCTCCCCCTCTCCAAAAATAATAAACTATTTTAATTGATGACAAATATGCTTTTCCTTGAAAAGATTTTGACACTAAACAAAAAATAAATGAACAAACATACAAAAAAAGATGTGAATTCTGAATATAAGCTTTCTAATATATTAGATTAGATTTTTTATATATTATTTTATATATAAAACACCTGATTTTTAATATATTATTTTACTTATTAGAAAACCTTATCATTCAATATTATTAACCACTGTAAATGATACTCAGATATGCTTGATTTTTTTTTATTATGTGGTCCCTTCTTTTCAGGCACACACGTACACACATCCTGAGAGAGAACCATACAAAATGTCTTTTTCTAGACTGTAAGTTTGCTGCTTAAATGGCATTTTTGTATCCTGAGCCTTAGGGATCTAATGTTATAAAGAAGTGCCATGTAAAATTCCAGAAATCCAGCCATGCATAATTTAATTTTTAATGTTTGTTAGCATTGGAGTTAATATTTCTATGAGTTTTAATTTTGTTCCTTTCAACATACATTTGTAAAGCCTATTCCATGTATATATCATGGTCTTAGCATCTATGGATATAAAAATAAATAAGAAATGATCCCTACTTTGGAGCAGTGGTCGACCTTGTAGACAAAGAGAGGTTAACAAACAATGATATGCACTGAAGAGTTATAGGTGTTATGATACAGATCTGTACAGTGGGTGATAGTGATAACAAAGGGGTTAGAGCTAATTCTACTTGAGTAATGGATGTGGAATATGTTTATTATAATATGAATGAAAAGGACTACATAAGTATGTCTGCCCCAGTTGTCTCTGCAATTGAATTTAAGAAAGTGAAAATGACTTCAAGTAAAATTTTACACCCATAAATTAGTGGCTCATTTAATTCCTTCTGAGTCTACCTGGCTCCTTGTAAATAGGGAACAACATGGTTGGCTTGAAATAGTATTGGAGTCAGAAGCACTGGGTTTTAGTCTTCAACTGTGTGACCTTGGACAAATTGTCCTAGCTTCCGGGGCCTCTCTACCTTCCTTTATAAAATGTGGACACAATACTAGATACTGTTGAAGGGTCTCACAGTCTCAGAGTTCAAAAATCCTATGAATCTCTAAAATTCTATTTTGTTGAATTTGGTGTCAAGTAAAAAATAACTAAAATCAAGGGGAAAATATAGGCTTTGTGTCAAAGGGGCTATCAATCTAGCTGATTTGAAAGGTATCAATGAGTATGGAAGCTTTGCGATTTTCTAGTTCTTGATTTGAGTGTTCAGTGCAGGCAAATACGTTTAACCAAGTGGTGTGTCTATTACAGAACCTGAGTTGATAAGGTGGAAGAGGTACCAAAACAATCTAATAATCATTAAACCAGTGATTCTCAGTGTTGTCTGCACATTAGAATTGCATGAGAAGGTTTTGAAATGCAGATGCCTAGACTTCACAGTGGACCAACTGAATATGATTTTCTGGGAGAAGTCAGATGGGAGCCCGTGTGATTGTTTTTGGGTTTTTTTGTTTTGTTTTGTTTTTTAAAGCTCCCTAAATAATTTAGATGCTGAGAACTACCAAATTAAATCAATATAAACAATTTATCTTAATTTTTAGAAGACTGTAACAAGAGACGTTGTATGAAGGAATGGAAACAGCCAGCTAAAGGTTGGTTTTCGCTGTCACTTCATGCAGTGACACCACAGATAGTAGGTGAATATGAATGTTCATTCATCTCACCTTCCTTATTTAAACTATTGTTTATGTGGTTTTTGTCAATGGCCTTTGTCCACCCTGCTTCATAATTTCCTTTTTAACACCAGTTACTACATAGCAGTTTAAATATAGAACACATTGAAACAAATGTTATAACAATTTAGTCTAGTAATTACCTATTAGATTCAATAAGTTTTATATAGAAATGAAATTGGCCTCAATCATAAAGGAACAAAAAGAAAAATTTTCCACTAAAAGTTAATAAATGATTCAAAAATTATTATAAATATAATTCATGTGTCACCAAGTAGCATACATCTCATGTGATTAAATATCAGTTAATATCTATCTATTAGGCTTCAGTGTGGATATTATAACTTTTTTTTTTGTAATCTAGATAATCCTGGGTCAAGTGAAGCTGTACAGTTAAGGAAAACATTATAATTTCCTTGAGTGAAATGACTCAAAATCCCACATCCAAACTTAGCAGTATTTTAAGCAGTAACAGAGGTCGTGAGAGTTAGATGAGAGTTGTGCACTTATAGATTAAGGCAGGAGGGTCTGAAGTCTTATTGAAATAGATTTTTTCCCAGCACCTTTTTAATAGCCTTTCCTGCACAAATTCATTCATAAATCTTGGGAAATAGTTGACATTAGTGACATCAGGCATTATACAGCAACCATTTTTCAATGAGCTTCAATAGGCTCCATTTGGAAGGTGTGAGAACTTAGTTTGTTGGGTGGGGAGTGGGGGAGGCAAAGGGGACGGATGGGAAGCCATCCACATTTCAAAACTTCAGAATGTGAAGTACAAATATAATATCCTTCCCATCTTATTTAAATAGTGGGCTTAGTTCCATAAAGCACTCCTACAATACAAGTGTTTGGAATATAAACAGAAAAACATTCCTTCTAGCTTATGGCTTAAAATGATAAATAATTAAAAACATATTTCTTTGGTTACCTTTTGCCCCTAATCCAGAATGAAAAATTTAGAATAGGAGAAATATAAATTAAATTTTAGAATAGCAATTCTTTATCTTGTACCTCTAAAGTATGCATATTTTACGGGGAGAAGAGCTAATTTCTTCTGCAGCTTAAGGAAAAAAGTGAGACAGAATGGCCATATCTTTTGGCTGAAGGCATCCAGCAGTCATGTCCTTGGAAATAGTTTTGGGTGATCATGAAGAAAATCGACCAGGTAACAAATCTTGTCTCTGCTACTTGCTAGCTCAGTGATCTTGTACAAGTTACCTACTATCTTTGTGCCTCAGTTATTTAATCTTTAAAAGGGGAATAGTTAATAAAAATATTAAATTAATGCACAAAAACACTTGCAACAGGGTTTCACAGATACTAAATGCTCAATAAATGTTAGCTATTTTCACTATTTACCTATGTGGGCCTCAGGGTTCTCATGTATTTAAAATAAAAAATATTTAATCTAAAGACTATTCCCCAAATTGTCCTGATGGTAATAATCACCAAAGACATTTAGTAAATAATGCTTCCCCAGGACTGTCCACTAAAGATTCTGATCAATGGGTCTGGGATTAGGCCAGGAATTTTTACTTTTAATATGTGCTCTGTTGAATTTCATTGTGATGAAAATTTTGGACACACTGATATACATCATTTATTTATTTAATCACCTAAATATTCATTCATTCTTTCAATAAATAATAAACCCTTACCATTTCCTGGTCACCATCCTAAGTGCTGGAGGATACAGTGATGAACCGAATTTTCTGTTTATTAGAGTTTGGGAACTAAGTAGAAGATATTAGAAAAATAAGCACAGAAATATCTATATAACTACAATTGTGAAGTGTGCTCTATTAAAGGAAAAACACAAGGTATGTTGAGAGTTTTGAATACTCTCTTCTACTCCTGGCAGAAGAGATAAGGAGGGAGGTTTGCTTAGACCTGCCTGAAGAAGGTATTACTAAATTTCCTCTATGCCCTGATACTGTATGTTCAGCATATCTTACCTGCCAAGAGGAAAAGAAGGATGCTGGGCTGAGTAGGTTGGGGTTTGTTGGGTTGCGCCCTCCCATATATTCATCCGTGCAAATGTCACAGTTTTCAGCATCTCTCCAGTCCCAGTAAGGAATGGTGAAGTTCTCATCCCCTGTAAGCTCCTGGATTTCTCGTTCCCACAGCAACAAGAAGAGTCTGTGCCAAGGCAGGAAACCTGGTGCTTCATGAGCAAAATCAATGTCTCTCCAGATTTCAGACCCCCCAAGCAGTGTGTCCCTTGACACATAATAGTGCATCCAGACAAAGAGGTCATAAATGTTGATGTCACTAAACATGGGTGTCGACCCATTATTCATTTGGCCATAGGTGCCTGTGGGGATGACATAGTCTGGGCTAGTAGTACGCTTTGCTAAAGTGAGGTAAGCAAGAAATTTGTTCTTCTCTGGAACACTCAAATCAAAGATGTTTCTTCTCACCAAAAGTCGCCTTTCTGTGCAGTTTGGTCCCCCAAAGCCAAACTTGCAATTTCCACAGTTGAATCCCATGAAGTTGCTAGAGCACTGGCAGGTCCTGTTATAAAAGACAGAGGGCCAGGACTCCCGGTCGTCCACCCCTGTGAAGGGGAATTGAGGCCCAAGGGGTGCATTGGATAAAACAATGTCCTGACAGGAACCCCTGCCTGAAAGCTGACCACAGGGACTCCCGTCACCCCTCCATGGTGGGCAGCATTCCTTCTCCATCAGGTCCTTGGAGGACACACAGGCTCGAGGGAAATGGCCATCGGAGGTCTGGAAACTCCACAGCAGGCAGTACAACACAGCCAGGAGCATTCTTCCTCTAGTTCTCACAAGGTCTGCTTGAGCTGGGTAATCGAGCCACACACTTCTCTTCCAGCTACCCCTGCAGTGACTATCACATGTTCTGGCTAAGTCCTGTATAACACCACTCCCACCTCCAGCATCAAACACTCTCAGTCTTTATCTTAAGCTTTCATCTTCTGAAAACCACATGACTAACTTTTTGTTGGAGTTGGCATGTACCCCACAAGTGGGATAGGCCTGAGGAACACTATTCACCATTAATAGTTTCTTATGGTTAGAATAATAATAAATAATATTATTAATAATAGTACCTGATCTATGTAAAACCCAGTTAATTGACTATGAAATTAATGATGATTTGAATTTGGAAATAAGAAGTAGTATTAGTAATAGAGGTTCTCTTAGTAAGAAAGCTCTGGAAGTGTTAGACATTGTAGGTGTAAGGTAGGTGTTCCTCAGAGACCACAAATAGGTCACAGCATTTTCAGAGGTAAGCTTTGCAAAAAAAGGACCCTTTTCAGAGCCCAAAGATTATTTCTTATAACTGAATATACTGCAATTTATTTATTTTGTATAAAGTATCAGAAGAAAAAAATCATTCTGCTACTCTTCCCTAATTATCTTGATGCATTTGGCTGCTTGCCAGCTCTCTAAGTGCTGATTTTCTGACTATACCTAAGGATAGGTCACTTTAATATGTAGGTGATCTGCCTTATTTAGGAGACTTTTATTAGTTAATATCCCAAAAGAAACTCTTCTTATTTTTAATGCTGTAGCCATTGCCAAGTTTTCAATTTAGTGAGTGACTGACTCAGGAGTTTTGTATTTATTCAACAAATATTTATTGATCATATAAATTCTCCCAGGAATTCTTTCTCTGTGTGTATAGTGACCTGGATAAATTAAAATGCATGAATAAAAACATAATTTTACCACTTACACTAATTTTCAAATGAGTAGTACAAATAATAAATACATGAGATTTTTAATAGAGGGATGTCTCATGAACTGAGGATTCTTGAAAAAATTGCACAGTTTTTGGATTTTTTTGGTTTTGTTTTTATATTTAGAGAGCAAGGAAGGGAAGGAGAGAAACATCAATGTGTGGTTGCCTCTTGTGTGTCCCTAAGTGGGAACTTGGCCTGCAACCCAGGCATGTGCCCTGACTGGGAATCGAACCAGCGACACTTTGGTTTGCAGCCCACATTCAATCCACTGAGCTACACCAGCTAGGGCCGAATTGCACAGTTTTTTATAACAATATTCAAATTTTATTTAGGGAGTACCTTGAATAAAACCTTATGTGGTGGGGATGAGTCAGAGAGACAAAAGAAAAAGGAGTCACTACTTCAGGCAGGAGAAACTATAGGGGAGGGAGCTGCATTTCATTGGCAGAGTGTTGGATTCAGATAGGCTCTGCACATGATAGGAAATTAAATCTGGATCCAATCCAGGGAGGTGCTTATAAATGAAAAAGTTTGAACTAAGGTGAGTTGAAGAATTAGAGGATGAGAGTAGTCAAATCAAAGTTGCCTCTACTAGATTCCTTATCCTGCTCCACATCCACACCTGGGTGGTCCCAGGAAGGAAGGAGCAAGTGTGGAAAGTGAAAGCTCTGAGGAAGGCGGCAGTGTCTGGGCTCTTGGCTGTGGGGTTCTAGCGAAGGTCATCCCTATCGTGGTGACCTCAGAATGTCAGCCTGTCTGCCCTCTTCCCTTTCTGCTGAAGTTTATCTCATGAAAAAACGTCTAGGTTACTTCATACAGCTCTCTGGAGTCTCAAAGCAGCCTTTTGAGGTGGAAAGAGCAGTGTGTGGGTGAAGAGGAAGAGAGCAAGAAGTTTCCATGGAAATGCTGCCTCTGGCTGGGATCAGGAAATCATCACATGATCTCCACAAGGAGACTTAATCTTTTTTCTTCCTCCTTTCAGAGCCACAAAGAGATTAAAACAGGGCTTCTAGTCCCTGGGGAGTCTTGATTCTGTATTACTTTTAACCACATGGGGCCTTTTGTAATTCTGTTCCATCTACTTACAGACAGAATTCAACTTCTCATGTTCAATTTAATTAAGAATTTTGTTTTCCACTTGCCCCTCTGTCTTGGAGTAACTTAGAAAGCTTCCATCACGCCACCGCCACCGGGCCTGTGTGTTTACTCTCCCAAGTCCGCTTATTCTTCAGAGCATGTTCAGAGGAATGGCTAAAATTCGTTTGTCCTCTAATTTCTTTCACAGGGTTGATTTCTTTAACAGACCTCATTATTATTCTCAAATATAGGATACTAACTGCTCTGGCCCATATATATATCAGTCTTATTGTCAATACAAACTTCTTAGGTATCAAACCTCGTTTAGACTGGTTCCTCTCTGAACTCAAGGTGAACTCTAGGTGTCTCTAGTTTATAGAATTTGAGTGTTCTATCTTCCAGGAAGATTATTGTATGATTCAGCACCTTAGTTCATGAAATACTTTGTTAATCAGTACTAGGGGCTCAGTAAATATTCTGCAAAGATTTACTGATCATCAATTTTCAGGCATATACTGAGAGATGCAGATGTCATGGTAAGCACAAGCGAGAGCTTTCTACCCTCATGAAGCATGTTAATATCTATTAAAATAATATTTTCCTTTCAGTAATTTTGAATAATATTTATAACTATATATATTTTAAACAATTTTTTCCTGGTTAAATGTCTTTTTAAGCTGCTATAAAAGACAAACAGAGCTATTAGGAAAGGTGACAAAAGGACCTATCTAGTCAAGAAAGGTTTTCCAAGATTAATTACATGGCAAGTGTCCTCTGAAACATTAGTAGAAGCCTGTTTAGGGAAGAGAACAGTGGCTGTGAGAGCATTCCAGACGAAAGGAGTTTCATGTGCAAAGTGAAGGGGGAATGGCATGCTCAGGAAACAAAAGGACATTTCAGGTGGTTATAATCCGCAAAGCTATGAAGATATGATACAAGTACAGAGGTATGTTCGTGGATGAGATCATAGTCCTTAAAGGGTTTACAGCAGAGTTTTGAAATAATCATGAGAGAATTAAAAAATTCCACTTAAGCTGCTGAGATGACAACAGATGTGGGGTTGAGAGTAAGAGTAAATGTAAAAATAATTATTAGAGATTACTGGAATAATCCAGGCAAGAAATTATGTGGTTTGACCCAGAAAGATGATCCCTGAGGTAGAAGAGATGAATTCAAGAGGAGGGAAAGGTGATGGGGAGAGAGATTTGGAGTTGACATCTAGGTTTCTGGCATGTGCCACTAACTAAAATGAGGACCAGTCAATGATAAAATGTTTGTAGGAATAGCCATAAACAATTCTCCTCTGTTTTCTGATGTTTGCACTGATCATTCACACTCACTGGGATTTGATCTAGTCAGCCTTGCTCTTGCCCTCACTCTGAGCATTTGTCTGCTCATTTATTGGATGATAGTTTAAACATTCTTCTCTGGTTTTTAGCCCTCATCTCAATTTTAATAGTAGCTACAGTTTACTGCATTTAAGTGACATACTTAGTTCAGCTTGAATAACTACAATGGAACCAGAAAAAAAGTAATTTAATGAATTAGCATGTAACCATCATCAAGACTGAACAACTATTATCTTTCTATAGGCATTGTTTCTTCTGTCCCACCAAAATAAAAAGAAACAAATTCTTTAGTGTTTTTAACAAACTTTATATTTTCTCCATAATAATATCTTAGCCTACATAGGTAACAATTAAAGACTTAAAAATATAACCACAATACCAGTACATCTCATACAAAAAGAGAGAACAATTGCTTAATGCCATCTGATTTTTAAATCTATGCTTAATTTACTTTCATTATCTTTTTTTTTTAAAGATTTTATTTGTTTATTTTTAGAGGGGAAGGGAGGGAGATAGACAGAGAGAGAGAGAAACATCAATGTGTGGTTGCTGGGGGTTATGGCCTGCAACCCAGGAATGTACCCTGGCTGGGAATCGAACCTGGGACACTTTGGTTCCCAGTCCGCGCTCAATCCACTGAGCTACGCCAGCCAGGTACTTTCATTATCTTAAAAATGTTTTTTTCAAGATCCAAAAAAGTCTATATATTGCTTTTGTTTAAAATTATTTCTTAAGTTTTTAAATATCTATATTTCTTTTTTTCTTCATTTTAAATGTAATTTATTTTTAGAAGAAACCAAATTTTGTCCTGTAGAATTTCCCCACTTCTCAAGTTGCCTAATGTTGTCCTTATGGTATCACTTACCATGCACGTTTCTCTATCCTGTATTTTCTATCACCTCAGAGACAGAGAGAGAGGATTGACTTCCGGGTCAATTTTGTTATTGTTTTTGTTAAGAATTATTTCACAGTTCTTGCTGTATACTACTTACTCAAAGACAGCAGAGGAATATGTTATATGATTTCTGCACTAGTATTTTTTTTTATTAATCAGTTTGAGTTGATGTCAGACTGTCTTATATACTATATAGTGCTATGACAAAGTTTTACCTCATAGTTTTATTATCACTAATAATTGTTTCCTATATCCATTGTTTCATTAAAAATACAAGAAGAGTGAACTTTGTAATTTTATGTGCATTTATTAATTGTGATTCTTTTGTAAAAATAACTTTTCCTCATCAACTATTTGGTTGCTCTCACATACATTCTGTACAAAAAGAAGGGTAAACGCTTGATTCTTGTCCTTAATCAGTTTTATGATAATGACTTAGTGCCCTAACAACCTCTAAACATAACTGATGTATTCATTTTAATTATCATATGATGATTTCTAGAGTTTAATGTACTTGGTGTGTTTCTTTTGAAGGTAAAAATTATTTTTTAATATATATATACATATACATGCACACACATATATGTGTATGTATATATATATATCCAATATTCAGTTAATTAGTATGCATCAGCCAAGCTACATTATATGTTGGGCAATGATAATTATGATTGTGTTTATGTATATACATGTGTAGAGCTGAAGGGAAAAATATGTAGCCATCAACTCTCTATAGTTTTTTACACTTATTCACTTATTCAATAAATATTGAGTACCTACCATGCCCAAGATCCTATCCTAGATACCTGGGGGATGCA